CTGATCGGGGAAACATGTTGCACTTTTATCCCTGATGGATACGAAACTGGAGGAGACATTTATGAAGCTTTGCAGAATTTGACCGCTCTGCAAAAATATGTCACTGAACACACACCTGGAGCAGCTACAGCACAAAGCTGGCTGGACTGGCTGTTCAGCGGTTCATGGCTGGCTGCTGTAGCAAAGCCATTTTTCCTTCTAGGTCTCATCATGATAGCACTGCTCATATTAGTGTTGTGTGTGTTGCCATGCCTAAGAGTAATGATTTCACAGATGATAACAACTACAATGACTGCTTATGTTGCCGTGCCTGAAGAAGAACAACATCCCGTTGCAATTCTGTTAGAGGAGAACTTGTACTAGCTGCTAATAAATGACGTGGTGATTAAAAATGACTTGTCAAGTGATCATGCACTGATTAAAACATTAGTAGGTTATGCAAGTTTTCATACTTTTATTTTTTGAAGTCTTGACTTTTAAACATAAAGTTTTTCATTTTGAATATAAAGTTTTCATGCTTTTATTTTATTTTTTGAAGTCTTCAGTTTTAAACATAAAGTTTCCATTTTAAATATGAAGTTTTCATTAGTTTACACATAAAGTTTTCAATTTAAGGTTTGCATCATTTTAAGTATAAGGTTTTCATGCTTGTACTTTTAGAAGTTTTAAGTTTTCATTTCATAATATAAGGTTTTCATCCTTGTATTTTTTGAAGTTTTCATTTTATAATATAAGGTTTTCATCCTTGTATTTTTTGAAGTTTTCATTTTACATATTAGGTTTTCATCATTTTTAAAATATAAAGTTTTCATTTTACTTTTCATTCTTTTATTTTTTGTAAGTTTTCGTTTTAAAATATAAGGTTTTTATCCTTTATTTTTTTGTAGTTTTAGTTTTATTATTTTTTCCACTTGTTATTTCATTTACTATGACTTTCATTTACTATGTTTTTCTTTGTATTATTTTCTTTTGTTTTATTCTTTAGACCAAATGACTGCCATTTCTGCTATGCTGACATTTTGAAAAATTAAAAATTGTTTAAGATACTTAATAAATAATTTTCATAGACAATTGTTGTATACATTTAAAATAAGTTAAACAGGAGGGAATGTTACAGGAAAAATGATTCTATGTTTCTTTACCTTCTTTTAAATGTGCAAGCATGCCCTTTTGTCTATGGTTAGATTAGTTTAGAATTATCTTTTTAGACTTTCTCAGCAAAGACATACTGTTTTGGGACATATTGTTTTAGATTGTTTTATCTCTCACAGCCTTCTCCCAGCTCTCTGCTGACGAGACTAGCGCCACATATGGAGTTGTTTATTTTATTTGTTTTGTATTTTCTTATCCTGTTCTCACTGTCTTTCCTATAAAAATTACCAAGCCACTGTGCATGGTGTGAGTTGTCCTTAGCAGCTCACCCGTGTACACGTTTGATAAAGAAAGTAACTTTTGTCTCATTGTGTCTTTATTTCTCCTGGGTCTTTTACAGAGTTTTCCCCCAACAGGATCACAAAAAAAACAAAAGCGGAAAAATTCATGTGCCCGTATTCTCCAAAAGAAAAAAATTAAAGCATGTCAAACATAAATATACAAACACATTATGCATCTATGCACATCATCAGCCACGTTCGGGTTAGAAAATGATCTAAAAGTTTAAAGTGCAACAAAGAAACAATGAGAAATACTGATTGGAGAGCAGATACTGATTTCAGGGTTAATAAGGATTTTTTGAGTCCCGACGGAGGAGCGCGAGTCCTGTCAGCTCATATCAGACGTCACAGCAGTCCAGACGTTTGGCCATCGTCTCATAACAGTCTGTCCAGATTTAAGACCGTCCTGTCCTGTAAAGTTTCCATCGGTCTTTGATCGCTTTTGCCGCTCCTGTCGTTGGCTAAGAAGGAAATAAATCCAGGAAGAGCAGCAGAGGCCTCAGGGTGCTGGCTGACACCCTGCAGCGACGGCGCGGCGTCCGTCAGGCCGTCAGCTTCAGTCGTCCTGCAGAGAAACGAGAGCGTCAGCCAGCAGTCATGTGACCCTTTAACTCACCATGTCCACACTACTGACAATAAATGTGAAAACATGTTGTTTCTCTTCATTTCGCTCTTTCTAGAGCTGATCACAAAGTTCTTACACTGTGAAGCGACTTCGTCAGCAGTTTACAAAGCATCCCGACAGCTCCTGCAGACTCTCCTCTAACGCCTCTGCACGGACCACAAATAAAACAGACACCTGTGCTGCCCTTACTAACCTCTGCTCAGAAGAAAACAAACTGGCTTTAAATATTTCTCTTGTGTACCGCTGACATTTTTTTAAACCACCTCCCAGTTTTTACCAGGAATTTAGTCTGGAAACTTTTTAGATGAGAATTATTACTGGTGCTCAGAGCAGAGTCTCCATCTACACCACAGAAATCTTCAAGTCAAAGAATCATTCAGGTGTGTTTTTAAAGATAAGTTGTGTGTCCTGAGCAAAGATCACGTCTGCGTTTGAACACCGACAGACGTGATCTTTGCTCAGCACACTGGCTTCCTCCAACTTCTACATGAAACGTACAATTAAAGTTAAAGAGTTAAATCTGGCCAATTTCATGCTTTTTACAGTCATGGTTCAAGAACCTCATGATAACACTTCCTGTTCTAACCAAAAACACAGAAACATGGAGGATTTTACTCCACAGTCATCGGGTCGCTGCTAATACAGGAAACAGCAGCACCTTTGCTAACGTTACCTGAAGATCGACTCTGAGGCCAAGTCTTCATGTCACATTTGTTCAATTAGCTTCTGGTAATCAATACGATCTCTCACCGAGCATTTCTGTCAAACGTGGTCCCAGAAAAACCAGCAGGAGTCAGTCGATCTACCGAGGCTGAAACCTCAGACTGAGCCTGACTGCAGTGTGAACGAGCAACAACCAGAAGTGTTCCTATCAAACTGACACAAACAGTGTTTTCAGATTTATCAGTGCAGACATGGAAGGAAGGAAGGAAGCAATCCCACAATCCTCTGCTCATCAGCGAGGACGCTCAGCCAGGCCACAGAGCAGCGAGGGGGAGGGACGGGATTTATCCGGACACCAGCGCACTCAAACACCCACCAACAGTCGGACGTCACGAGACCGTAACAGAGAGAGGCGGCTCGTTTGGTTTTAGCTGCTGCAGATTCAGAAATATGAGTAAATAAAAAAAGCTGCAGGTGTTTTTATCAGTTTCATCTGAGAGCAGCACAGAGAGGAGGAGGATTAGAGACGGGATCACACTGCTGGCCTCGCTCCATTAAGGACTAAATGCTTTATAAAAATAAAATAAAAAACCTTCCAGCTGCTTCCGAAGCCTCTGAGTGCTTTTACGTCTCCATAATGGCTTTTTGTAACCAGACCTGACTGAAACTGGAGATCGTCACGTGGGGTTTATCGTCCGTCCTTCTGGACACTAAAGACAACTTTATTTTAAAAATTAAACACCTGATAAGACCTGAAAGGAGCAACCGAGGCCATAAACTCACCAGGAAAGTATTTACCTGGGATACAAATCATATTTTCAAAGCACTTCTTTTTCAAACTGAGGAGTCGCCCCCTGCAGGTCATCAGAAAGGATGCAGGTTTAAGCTGCTTTTGCACTCAGTGCCTTCATCGTTTACCTTCTTTATTATTCCCAGATGTTAATGTAAGAATCATTTCTCATCTTTAATTTATCCAACTCGTCCTGCACCTCTCTGTCCTGGGATGAGATGAAACCTCAAACGTGTAAATTTCTGGTGACTTGAATTCCAAAAGAAGCTGATGAGTGATAATACAAGACTCCAGCAGCCGAACAGGCGACACACACACACACACACACACACACACACACACACACACACACACACACACACACACACACACACACACATTCTGTGGTTAGAGGTGAGGAGCATTAGATGGATGGTGGAGGAGACAGGGGGAGGGGGCACCATGCCATGCTGAGAGCTTCCATGCCAAGCTGTCCACCAATCAGAATACATCCCCACCTACCTGCCCACCGTCCCCCACCAATGGGCTGGCTCTGTCTACCTGTCTGTCTGCAAACCAACCAATCAGACCACAGAATGAGGACACAGAAGAAGAAGGAGGAGGACAGACTGACAGCGGGCGTTCCTGGAAAATTCCTCCTCCACTCTTACAGCTCAGACCTGCGATGTTCAGGAGTTATCATCATTATTATTATTTACGCTTTGTTTACGCTAAGCTTTGTTCTGATGTTGTTTCGGAGCTCGTCTTCATTTCCTCAGACTTTTTCTATTCTTTTGTATTTTTGATGCGACAAACATTAAAAGCACGATAAGTGACGGTCTGAGACTTCATGCCGTGGCGAGAGGACGAGGAGCACCTGGACCTCACAGTCTCACCGACTCTCGCTGTAACGACTTCCTCAGAGGGTTTTAAATCCCTCTGCTGACACAGACGTCTGTGTTTGCACAGATAGTTTCAATGCTCAGAACCTTTCCTCTGTGAACGTGTCTTAAAGCGATCGTAGAAAACAGGCGAGAAGCTTCAGAAACCGAGCCGAGCTGCCTTTGTTACAAACACATACACAATCTCTCTGCCACTGATGAAACCAGCTCCATTATTCTGACTGTTCTAAGACCAAAGAAGCAGAGTTTAAAGTAACATCCACAGAATAAAATCATGGAGGACGGACTCTGTGAGCTGCATGTGTGAATGTCTGTCCCCTCCCACAGCCAGTGGCGTGGTTCCACCTCTGAGCACAGAGGTTTTGTGGTGCTGTGTCTTTACTGGGTTTTTTCCTGTGAAAACATGTGGAACTGGTTTGGAACATCGTGCAGTGGTTGTTAGTCCTCCACACTGAAGGGAGCCAGCTAGGGTGCTTTGGGGGTCCGACCAGAAAACCTGCAGCGCTGCAGGTTAACTGTTTCACCCAGGACAGAACCAGGACACACTGGAGAGGTTAAAGCTCGCAGCTGGGTGGAAATTCCCGAGAAAATGTCTGAAGAGAGGAACATCTGTTTTCCCCGGCCACTAAGGATGGATGGACAGACAGATGGATGGAGGCATGGGTGGATGGATGGACGGAGGCATGGGTGGATGAATGGAGTTGGGTGCCGTGTTGTTGGAAAAGAGATTGTGTCTCCAGGTTGTGCACGTAAACACAGCGTGTGTGTTATCGCTGCTGCTCTGTCAGGGTCCAGCGGAGGGTTTAAAATCGAGCGGCGGACAGAAACAAGCGGACACACGGACGACTTCGGACGGAGACCAGTTCAGCAGCTTTCTGTTCTGGAGGGATCCGCTCCTGACCTTCAGCGATGAGCTGCTGGGTTTACTGGTGAGTTGAAAGGGAAGAATGTTTTCATGCTGGGAGTCTCGTAGAGCAGCTTTGCATGATTCACAGTTCAGAATAATCCTTTGTGTTCCTCTGAGCCTCGGTTCAGCCCCTCAGTGAGCGCTCGTGGCTGAGTGTGACCGGCTGCAGTTTGCAGGAGACCTCGTTCATATTTAAAGGAGCCTCCATGAGACTTTGAGGGCTGCAGGCGTCTTTGTGTTTGCATGGTTTCACACGCCAGTCAGACTCTAGTGCATCAGTGCATTACCCTTTTATTTCTGTTGTTGTGTTGCAGCCTCTGAACTTCATGTGCATGCCCACCACCTCCACCTCCTGCAGCACATTTCAAGAGAAAAAGTAGTTCAAGTGTGATCTGAGGTCTTATTCTTGTAATGTGTAAATAGTGAATCGTGTGGAAAACGTTCCTGACGTTGATGGCGTGGGATAAACAGGGTTTCCTCCTCAACATCTCCCCGTAGGAAAGGATGCATGTGAGAGGAAGCAAGGAGACAAAGGAGGAATTTTACATCTCTCACTGAGTCATAACTTCTGTCACCTGTCAGACTGCAGTGATGATGATGATGATGATGATGATGTTTGTTTACAGAAAGAGGGCAACGAATCACCACAGACAGAGGAGAGGGCGGAGCAAAGGGCGTCGGCGGGCCAATCGGACGACGAGGACAAAGAGAACGAGCCTGATGACGAAGATGACGAGGAGGACGATGACGATGGAGGAGGATGGATCACTCCCGGTAACATCAAAGAGGTGAAAATGGACTCCGCTGATTGGACGGCTCCAGCTGACATCAAAGTCGGCTGTCTCACCACCGACTTCGCCATGCAGGTAACGGATGCAGACGGTGCATTCGCTGTTTTTCACCTTCTGTCTAAAGGTTTGTGTGAATGGTTTCAGTAAACCGCTGCGTGAATAAATATTCTCCTGCTTTACGCCGGACTTCAAAAAGCTTTCGCTGTCTGTGTCCCAGAACGTTCTCATTCAGATCGGACTTCACGTTCTCTCTGTGAACGGGATGCTGATCAAGCAGGCGAGGAACTACATCCTGAGATGTCACGCCTGCTTCAAGTGAGTCCGAACAAAGTTAACAAAACCTCTTCAGGCTGAAAGGGAGGCAGCTCGAATCCGTTCCAGCGAAAAATACAAAACACGACATTTAAAACATTTAAATTTATATCAAGAGTAGAATAAAGGTGCTGAACAAGTGAAAATGTCAGGACTGCTTTATTAAAAGAATAAAGATAAATTAATACATAAATAAAATGGACAAAGTCAATGAAAGGAATAAAATAAATAAATAAATGTATTAAATTGCTGCTTGAGTAGGTTAAAATAAAAATAATAAAACACAGTAAAAATGATGCTTACATAGAAAAATATAATAAAGGTGCTCCAGAGATACAGATGTAAATAAGGTCAAAATAAAACATCATGTAAAAATCTGAATATAATCCATTAAAGTGGCTCTACACCAGGGGTGGGAGGGCCGGCGTCCTGCAGGTTTTAGATCTCACCCTGGGTCAACACACCTGAATCACATGATTAGTTCATTACCTGGTTTCTGGAGAACTTCAGGACATGTTGAGGAGGTCATTTAGACATTTAAATCAGCTGTGTTGGATCTAAAACCTGCAGGACTCCGGCCCTCGAGGCCTGGAGTTCGCCCACGCCTGCTTTAAGAAAAAGCACAGATGTTAAAGTGGATCAGAACGATGGAGCGTGGAGTGCAGGGTTGGAACAAACCTAACATGAGAGGACAGATGTTCTTCAGACGGACAGATGTTAGTGACCTGTCCTGTTCTTAGAGGCTGTAAGGAGAATAAAGCGAGGGGTTGCCCGTCCAGGAGCATTGACCTGTTAAATGTTTCGATTCCAGGACGACGAGCGACATGAACAAAGCTTTCTGTCCTCACTGCGGGAACAGAACCCTGAAGAAGCTGGCGGTGACGGTGAACGAGGATGGCAGCATGCAGATGCATTTCTCCAAAAACCCCAAAGTGTTGAACCCCAGAGGGCTCCGGGTGAGACGCGGCGTTTTATCACTTCTAAAATGACTCTGCGTTCGCATCTGCAGCGTAAATCGTTTTTTCAGACCGCTTCAGTTCTGCCTGAGTCGGGTCTAAACGTCCTAAACATGACCGCTGCCGTCTTGTGTTTCAGCACACGCTGCCTCTGCCTCAGGGGGGGAAACACTCCACCAACCCCCAGCTGGTGGAGGACCAGCGCTTCCCCCAGCAGAGGCTCTCCCGGAAGGCTCGCCAGAAGACCGATGTCTTCAACCCGGACTACGTGGCCGGAGCGTCGCCGTTCTGTGAGAACGACATCTACAGCCGAGCCGCCAACCTGCAGATCAGAGACGGCCAGTGTGGCGGCGGCAGGAGGCGGGCCAACCCCAACGCCACCCGCAGGAAGTTCATCAAGAAGAAGTAAAGATGGCGAGCATGCATCGTGTTTAAATTAAAGGACCGGACCGTCATTTCCCAAATCATCCATCGGCTCACGTGCGACAGATTAACTCACCAGGTCTTCTGGTGCGTTCATGGACAGTCAGACATCCAAGACATGAGGATTAACTACAGCTCTAAACACGGTGTTCAAAGCAGAAGAGACGCGCGTGACAGCCAGAGGAAGTCGATGACACTCGGCGACACACGGGCGAATTAACTGCTGGCAGCACGAGTGACTCTAACAATACCAGCTCCAGATTATTACAGATTACATAGCATCCCTTATGGAACGAGCCAGAATAATAAATACATTAAAAGTGTGTGAAATTTCACATCGGTGTCTGTTTCTGCTCATTACCTCCACCACAGAGGCAGGAGCGCGCTCGGTCTGCAGGGCGGCGACGTGATACAGAGATTCTGCTACATATCAGGATTTCTGTGAGTGAAGAAGGAAGAAATAAAGCTCTGCTCCTAAACACTCGCTGCTGGAGACGTTTCTCCTCCAGTCGATTAGATGAAGGATGGCAGAGGTGGATGAACATCTGTAAGAGCAAACGGCAGTACTGAACGGACCAATAACGGTCACTCTGGGTTACACGGCTACAGCGTGCAGGTGCACATCAGGTTCAGGGTTTAAACAACGACTAAGGTGTAAATCCTCCTTCCTTCAAATTTTGCCAGACGTAATATTCTTATTAAAATATTTGTTTTAGAGAGCAGTGAAACCTTTCACAGCGAGTCTGCTTGAACTACGTTATAGTTTCCAGCTCAGTGTTTATGGCTGATCTTCAGTATTTTACATCTTTATGATAAAAACATCATCATGAGAAACATTTCTAACTGTCCTGTAACGTCGGGGTCCTGCACTGAAAAACGCAAACTGACTTCTCTGCAGTTTTCACTTTGTAAAGCCGGACCAAACGTGACCCTTCAGTGGGCTGCCTCTGGGGCCGAGGGCCACATGTTCGACATAAATAAACTTTATTATTGATTACAATTTCATGCTTTGGCGTGTGGTTAAACGGTAACACCACTGTGTGCCGCATAGTGCTGGACCTTTTATGCCTTTATCTTCTCGTTGCACCTTGTGAGTCACTGAAGTTGTGCCAGAAATGCTGTGTTTCTATGGTAACACAGCATTACATCATTGAATTGTCCCGTCGCCGTCTGACAGTAAAATTACACAAAAACCAACGATTCAAACACGATGCAGAGGGAGAACATGATCACTGGAAGGTTTATATTTTTAAACAGGAAAATAAGACCTAACAGGCAGGTGTAGTAAGGCTGTTAGTTGGTGGAAGTAGCGTCCACGAGGTGCTCACCTGTAGATCTGTGAAGGTGGAGATCCTTGAGTTTATCTTCAGATATTCCAGACAGGTGGAGATCAGCTCAGACTGACCGTGACTGTGCAGAAACTGCAGTACGCTCCTTTAAACATGAGACTGACTCGTCAATATAATTGATCTTTATTGATTTCCAATGAATCTTTGAATCAAAGTGAAAGATTTAAGTGTCCAGACAGTTTTTAACAAACCCACCATGTAAATCAGACACAGCTGACGGACTACAACTCCCAGCTGCCTCAGCAGAAAAAGCTCAAAGATGAGGCCGACGCTGGATGAAAATGCAGAGTCAGTTTCTGCCCTTCAGGACTTTCCTATAATAAACCAAACTTTTGGTTTTCTCACATTTCTGACACGTTACCAGGAAAACACAAACATTCAGTTTTTCCTTCTTAAAGGACGAGAACGAGCTGAAGATCTCCGGGAGCAGAGTTAAAATCAGGTGGACTCCATCATCGATGGAAAAAGAAGCAAACTAAACTATTTGCTTATTTTCCTTCTACGTTAGTGAGTAAACCTTTAAATAAGAGAAGAAATGTCACCATTAAAGCCTTTTTCTCACATATATAAAAATATTTTAATGCTTCAGTTTTGACAGATGTCCATCACAGGATACAGTTTAGAGCCAGCGTTTCCTCGCCTTCACTCCTCGTCCTGCTTCGGCTCTTTAAACTCTGTCTTTGTCAGTTCAGCTCCGGGTTTGGAGTCTCTGACATCGGATGGGGTCGGCGCCGGTTCTTTGGGCTCCATGTCAAACGTCAGGCTGCTCAATTCTGCCGTAATGTCGACCTCTGGCACCGGCGGCTCCTTCTGAGGAAGCAGGAAGTCCAGAGGCTCGAGGACTGTGGCGAGGTCGATGGAGCCCAGATGGCCGTACTTGTGCAGCTGGGTGGGAGGAACACCTGCGGAGAGACAACAGATTTGATTCAGACCAAACTCTGCTGCTCAGCACTTCTTAAGCTATTTTAGCCATTACAAAGAATAACTTTGAGAAGAGAGTCCAGGGCAAAAAAAGAAAAAGAGGTTAAAGATTTTTTTCTCTTTTAAACTAATTTTGTGAAGTTTTCTTCTCATTGACTGATTGGACCAAAAGTTTAACTTTACTACACAAAAAAAGCTTGTGTGGTGATTTTGTGGTTTTATTAGTGCCCCCTACAGGCTGAAGCGGTCATTACTCCAAATTCAGACCATGGTTTCACAAATGTCCCAGTGGCTACGCCCATCTTTTATGTACAGTCTACCATGTACGTTCATGCGGTTTCCAGCCCGAGACCGAAGGTGACCAACAAGAACAACAACGCAAGGACAACAGTTTAAACTGAGACCGCATTATTGGAATAACGGCTTCACTTCCAGGCCCGTCGTTAAACGTCTTCAGCATCACCGCGTCCGTTTTAAACGAAGAAACAAACTCAGACGTTGCTGCGAGTCCTCACCCAGGATGAGAGCGAGCTGAGCCGGTGGAAACAGGACCTGCAGGCAGCGGTTCAGGAAGGGCAGCAGGTCTTCAGCGTACGCACAGCAGAACTGAATAAACAGCTCCTTCTCCCGGCTGCTGAAGGCCGTCTCCTCCGCCCGGTGAAACACCAGAATCTGACGGGTCACCTGACAAAAAACGACACCGTCAGCAGCTGTTAATCCAGCATCAGTCTGACTTTAACCCAGATTACACCAAAGATCCAGCTGCTCACCATCTTCAGGGCTTCCTCCAGGCATTTGGTGACATTCTCCACCACTCCGATGGGGCAGCAGAGGCGGAGGTCGTTGAAGGCGGTCAGGATGTTGTTGAGAAAGCAGGCGAGCGGCTGGAAGTCCAGCAGGGACATTGGGGGCTGCAGGGTGCCGGGCTGCGGGGCGGGGGCTACGACGGGGATGGTCCCTGCCAGCACTGAGGGCAGGGCGATGAGGGTGTACAGGTTCATGTCCTCCTGGAACTTTTCCACCGCCTCCTTCACGGCTCCGCGGAACGTGTCCACCGCCACCCGCTGGAACATGGGCGCCAGCTGCCCGCGGAAGTCCGCCCCCACCCTGCTGAAGGACAAACCGAAGTACATGCACTGACCCAGCAGGGAGTCCAGGCGGCTGCCCACACCCCGCTGCAGGTCCCTCTCTAAGGTCTCCAGGAACTCTGCCACCTTGTGCACCACCCAGCCGTGGAAGATGGCGCCCTCGTTCACAGCCATGAGCCCACCGGCGGGGGGCACTAGCGGGTCCTCGTCAGAGAAGATGGCTCTGTACTGGGTGATGATGTCAAACATGTGCACCCTGCAGGCCTCGATGGTCTTGGTGATGTGAAAGTAAGCATCGTTTTCAGGGATGGCGGCGAGGATGGAGTGCAGCCAAGTGCTGCGAGCCTGCAGGAACTTCACCCGCAGCTCCGCCTCCGTGAACACGTCCATACGCCGCAGGTAACCGATGACGCGGAGGCACACGGGAAGCTGGGAGTTGCTGCGGAGCTGCTGCAACAGCTGGTTGAGCATCAGCTGAGCCGACTGACGCACTTCACGCACGATACCCTAAAGATGGAGACGGTCAAAGGTTAGAGGAGCCGAAACATTAGATGTTCTCCACAGTGACCTTTTCTGTTTTATATCTCAGCAAAGAGAAAGTTTCTCAACTGTTTTTCTCCAGTTTTTGTCAATTTAGAGTTTAAACTAGCGATTTCCAGCCTGTACCTGAACCTGAGCCCCATCAACAACCTCCCGCAGTCACATTTTAGCTTTTTCACCTTCTCTGAAAGCCTGCTTTATTCCAGCTGGCCAACACCTGGAAGCCTGCTGAGGGGCAACACCCAGAGCTTGTTAGCTGTGCACGTAACAAAAGAAAACTGAGTATTCAGAGCGGTCTGGAGCCTGAGCTCTTTAATTCTCTTCACACGTGTAATTGTTTATTTGAACATTTTTTCTCCAACATCACACGACAGAAAATCAAAGAAAAGTAACGTTTATTTAGCCCTAACAGTTCATTTTCCTAAATAACATTTAGAGTTTCATTCAGGCAGTAAAAAAACCCCAAACACACCCGCTTTTTGGTCAGCCTGGTCTGGACTCACCTGGATGACGGGCAGCGACGAGTGTTTCTTCTCCAGCCTCTTCACGTATGCCGCCAGCTCCAGAGCCTCTTCGTAGTAGCCGTTGCGGACGCAGGTGTCCATGAGCTGAGGAATCTCCAGAATCTCCAGGATCTCCGTGTGGCGGTTCAGAGTGAGGCTGTTCATCCGGCGGCTTGCTCCGATCTCCTCCGCCTCTTTCATGAAGTGCCTGAAAACAAAATGAGCCCCCAAAGCTCAGAGAGACAGCACAACAGCAAAAACACAACTATGTGTAACACTTTATAGCTCTAAGAACCTTTTATTATCTTTCATTAATGTTCCCAGTCTGTAGTTTTGTTCTGGTTGTGGCTAAAGTCTGGCTGCCTGTTTTTTATTCTGAAAGGAGGCTGACGAGCCAGCTCAAGGGAAATTAATCTGCTGCTGTTTTATTCCCAGTCAATTCACCTTCTGTGGCATATTCCTAAGAAAATAACTAAGTTATTCACTTTGTGATCCTACAGTGAGCTACAATAATAATAATCTGCATCTCTCTCCTTGATCAGTTCATCCTGTGTGCTTTTTAAAAAATATCTAAAGTTTTTATTAACCTAACAGTAAATGATGACACTTTTATAGACCCCAGTTTCCTCCTGCTGACATCCCCTCCACAGGGAGCCACCGACCTGCAATTCTCTCCGAAGCGGGGCAGCTTGTCCAGCAGCCGGGACACGCTGCTCTCCACCCGCCCGAAGTCCCGGTAGATGTGCTCGGTGCAGTCGGCGGTGCGGATGAAGGTCTGGTAGTTGGAGAAGGCCAGCTCCCGGGTCTGCTGCAGGATCTGAGCCCGCTCCTCCGCCAGCCTCTCCGGCTCCCGACCCAGCTTCTCCACCCCGAAGGAGCTGAGCTCCGACAGGTAGGCCGCGAAGTCCGGGTTGTCCCTCCAGCTGTCCGGGAA